ACTGAAGTCCTCAAATATCTACACACAAAAGTGGCACAAACTGGTTGCCAAACTTCAAATTAATGTTTATTTTCTGAGGTATCAAACAGTTCCAGAAAATGAAGGGAGAAGTTCTTTCCCAAAAAATATAATCACCGAAAACAAGTCACCTCCTTCCCAGAGGGGAAATGCTCAGAGCAGCATTGATGTTCCTGCCCCCAGGACCATGAGACTCCTCAGAAATGAGCAATCTTCTTAAGCTCAGGAGAGATTAGAAAAGTCCTCTGAACTACAAAATCAGTCCAGGTTCTCCAGTAGAAATAATATTCCACCAGCAAAGGACTGGAAAGGAAAACAGAAAATCCCTTGCTGCTGTGACCCACAGCAGGTGTAGGGCACTTCAGTGCTTCAAGAAAATGGAATTAATAAGGAATGATTAAATTCTGTGGTTTTAGGCTACGCACAGAGTCAGGATGAAAAGCTGCCATTTCTAAATGAAAGCATTTGCTGAACTGGCAAAATAACTCATTGGTTTTAATCCAATCCTGAAGGATTCCCAAAAGAGTCAACCTGTTACCAAAGCAAACTGATCAATAAGTCCAGTATTGATCTGCCAGGAGCAGGGGATGCCTTTGGTGATCCCCGTGGAACCCCTTCCCACCACAGTGCACTGGGAATTCAGCAGGATGGGCCACAGGGAAATCACTGGGCAAAAATAATAAAAGGAGAGAAGAAAATGAAGGAATCTCAAGCCTTCACTAGACAGGTTTGATTCTCCTCTTTCCTATGAATTCATGTCATGTTCAGGCTGTAATATTCCTTGGAAAAACAAGGAAAAACCACAGCTCTCCAACATCCAACTATTTTAATCACCTACAATAACTCTGTACAATAATTTTTGATGCAAACCTGCAGACAAGCAACCAAACTGAGCTAGAAACCAACCCCTCTGGGTGTCCCTGGCACAGCAGGACCTGGGCTTTTCCCAGATTCACACCTTGCTGGGGTGAGGCAGCACTGAGTTATTCACACACAAAAGATCTGAGGCTGCTGGGGAAGATGGGAATTAGGAATTCAGTGTCCAGTGAGGAGCCGGATGTTTCCATACCCATGGATATCCATCCCTGTGAATGGAGATTTGATAATGCTGCCTCATGAACTTTATTGCATTTTCAGATGTTTTCCCATTGGGTTATTGAAGTTCTGTGAGAAGAGAGGACTCAGGAGGAAATCTGAAGGCACAAAGGAGGAAGATGAAATTTGCTGTTTCCCACCTCCTTAGGACAGGGTGAGGAAGGATATTTCTCCAGTTTAAAGCACAAGGAAGATCAGGAAGGCAGGGATGGCCTTGCTGATGGAGTGTTGTTTCCAACACCAATCCCAAAGCATAATTAACAACAGCTGCCTAAAATATGGATTTTCTGTTTTTCCCCTGTCTGAAACTCAGTGGACATGTTCACCATCTGATTGCTATGCAGAGCTCTGACGTGCCAGGGACACCTGCCAGTCTCCAGCAAAGATCAATCCATTTCCTAATTAGGGATGGGAGTTAATGGCAGCTGAAATGACCATTTAAAATACAGCAGGCCCTAAACAATGACTTCTCAGGGTGCTGCCTGCCCCAGAGCCTTTCCTTTGTAATCTGCTCAGCCTCTGCACTGGCCTGGATGATTTGTGGTGTCTGGGGGCTCCCTGGCAGCACTTTCTGTGCTGATAAAGAGGAGAACCTTGACTGTATCTCAAATTGTCAACAAATGCTTTCAAATTTCCTAGGAGTTCTTGCATTTGTCCTTCATATTTCCAGAGTTTAAAAAATGTTCCAGCCTGGATCTGCCCTTTCCTACAGAGTAATGCCCATGAGCATCTCATCATTGAGCCCCGTGAACTTTCCCCACAATCAAAATGTGCTTAATTCCACTGGCCTCACCCCATAATTCCCAACTGGATACCCAACCCTGTGGTGCCAGCCCAATTAATTCTGCTGGCATCATTAATTATTGGAGAAACACACCTGGCAAGAGTGAGTTTCACAGGCTAAAAGGGATGTTACATCTTTAATAGAAGGAGACATCAAAAAGCATTTTGCCCACAGCAAGGAATTCAACAATTGTGTTTAAATTTAATATAACAAGTAATAAAGAGTTGAGCTGGAGTCAAAGTCTGTCACTGGCTCTCCCACAATATTATTTATGGCTCTATATAGGCCCAGCTCCATGACTTCAGCAGGCAGAAACCTTAATACCTTGTGACACAACTGGGCTGAGCCATCTAATATCACCCACAAATCCCTGAAAAACAAACACTCCTTCAAATAATTATGCTGTTCCAACATCATAACTTCCCAGGCAGTGATGAAATGTCCTGGTTTAGGGAAGACCACTGAAAAGCCTTGTCTGTATCCTGGGCTTCAAATCAAAAACCTTTAATATTAGGATCACACTCTGCACTGAATAAATGTCAGAGAAATAAACTTGACGGAACAATATATTTTTCATGCCCTAAAATGAATTTTAAAAAGGACCTAGAACAGGAAACTACAAAGTCTTTAACCTCCAGGGGGAAAAAAATCAAATACCACCCAGGTCACTAATAATCTAATGTCAACTGTTGCCATAAAAAATGGGCAATGCTAAATAATGAAAGCATTTAGTGGGAGCTGTGGGGATCTGGGTTATTCTCAGTTATTCTGGGTTATTCTCTGTGCATGTTGATTAGATTTTTAAAGAAAAGGAAATGTTTCTCCCAGCCCTGTTTCCCTGTGGTTTTTAACCCAGAGCGTGGAATCTCTCACTTTATTTTCTAGATCCTTCCAGCTCCTCACCTCCCTCAGCCTGGCTGCCACGTTATCTTCCTGATAAGGAAAACACCTCAGAGCAGCCAGTGCAAGGTGAACCTTTGGGCTGGAGAGGTTTAGGGCACAAGGCAGGTCTGGCTGATCCAAACTGTACAGAATTCCATAATTAATTCCAGAATTCCAGATTCCTCTCTCCATGAGCTGCTGGCATTGAGCTGGCTCCTGCAGTTCCCTTCCACTCACACACCCCTCTGATCACTGCTCTCCTCTACATGGGCAGAAAAGGAACAAGAAATGTTTATCCCACTTAAATTATTTTAATTTCTTGCAGCAAACTACAAGAAAAGGGCCAGCCCCGAGCAGCTCACTCAGCAAACAAGTGAATGTTACAACTTGAACAATGTGCAGGCACAGCTGTTTATTCCACCACTGCATCAATGCATTTATTACACTCCTACATCCATCTCATGCTGCCCAATCCTTCTTTATATTAAATGTAGAGATCAGCACAGAGTTCTCTGTTCCAGGAGACACAAGATCACTTTTGCTGCACTTCAAACGTGAGAGAAGACAAAATCTCGTCCTTTGGCCAGGCAGTCCAAACTCAGCATGAGGATAAAACCCCAGTGACAGCAAACGCACTGTGCTATCCCAGGAGTGGAGAAACAGCTTTTCTTGCCAAAAAAAAAAAACTTCAATGAAAAAAAAACCAAAAAAAAAACCAAAGAAAAAACCCAAACAAAAACCAAACAAGAACCAAAAAAAACCGCAAAAAATCCCAGTAAAAACCAACAAACAAAAAAACCCCCAAAAACCAAAAAACACCACAAAACAAAACAAAACAAAACAAACAAAACAGAAAGTGGTATTAGCTAACCTGAAATAGTGATTTTAAAGCAAGATCCCAGAACAGAGAAGAGTTGCTTTTATCATGACATAACCTATGGAAATTTTACCTGAAAATACAGAAAGATTTCATGCCCTGGAATACTTTTCGCATCTTATTTCCATGAAGTGTCACATCCAAGGCCATCTGCCTTCATCTTCTTGGGTGTAATACACTGTCCTAAAGGTAAAAAAAAGTAATTTAAAAATCCCCTAGTGTTTCTTTAGGCTTTTGTGTCCTTGTGGCAAAGCAGAGCTGGAGCTGAGGGAGAGAATCCAGGGACAGCTCAGAGCCCGTGCGGTGTTTTTACCACAAGCCGCTGCCACAGCTCCGGGCGGCCCTTTCTCGGTGTCTGTGCAATGTGGGGATCCTGTGGGGATTAAACACACCCAGAGGGGATCAAACACATTCAGGGGAAAATGAACACACCCAGAGGGGAAAAAATACACCCGGGGGGATCAAACACACCCAGGGCAGGGATAAACACCCAGCTCAGCTCCCCTAGCCGTGCTCCCTCACCCTTCGCGAACCGCCGGACTCGCTCCAGCTCCTCAGAGCCCTCTGCAGACCCAGACTCGCTGTGGGGCTCAGCCGGGACGGGATGTGCACAACCCCAACCCCACAAACCCGGCACCATTCAACCCCAACTCCATAAATCTGGCACCATTCAACACCGACCCCACAAACCCGGCACCATTCAACACCGACCCCACAAGCCCGGCAGGATTTCGGGGCCGGATTTTCCGCCTCAGCCGCGGCCGGCCCGGGCTCCGCTCCCCGCCCCGCTCCGCCCTCAGCGCCCGGGGCCGCCCCTTCCCGCCCCGGGGAGCGGGGCCGGGGTAAGGAGCGAGGTTCTGAGGGCCAGAGGGGGAAAAAGTCGCGTTTAGATCCCGTCCATGAGGGCTGAGAGCAGCGAGGGAAGGGCAGAGCAGCTTCCGGAGCCTGTGAGGGGCGGGCACGGCCCTGGCTGTGGGAGCTGCCGGGCACGGAGCCGCTGCAGGGCTGGAGCCGGGCTGGGAGAGCTGAGGGAGAGAATGCAGGGAGAGCCCAGAGCCCTGCCAGGGCCTGAAGGGGCTCCAGGAGAGCTGCAGAGGGACTGGGGACAAGGATGGAGGGACAGGACACAGGGGATGGCTCCCACTGCCAGAGGGCAGGGATGGATGGGATATTGGGAATTGGGAATTGTTCCCTGGCAGGGTGGGCAGGCCCTGGCACAGCTGTGGCTGCCCCTGGATCCCTGGCAGTGCCCAAGGCCAGGCTGGACACTGGGGCTGAGGCAGCCTGGGATGGTGGAAGGCTTTTTCCCACTATCTCATTTAACCATCCTCTCTTTCCATTTCAGCTCATTCCCCCTTATTTCAACACTACCTGCTGTTGTAAATAGTCTTACCTTGTCTTCCCTGTAAATTCCTTTAAGATACTACAAAGGGGGAAATTTGATTATTTTTTTAATGAAGAATTTTATCCAAGCATTACTGTAATCCACTACAGATTTGCAAAGAATGCTGCTCAGATTTCACAGCTGATGTTCGATGCTAGTTGGTTCTGTACATTTCTCCTGTGTATCTGAACATGTGCTGCTCTAATCCCTGCTTTGGCTTGATCACGACTGAGTTGTGATTTTACCCACCTGTTGTGGTGGTTAAATCTGATGTGATGTGGCTGTAACATCCCAGTGTACCTCCCATGTTGCTGTGAGTAATCCTGTGAAACTGAGTTTTAAAAATCCTTGGTTTTGTTTTTATTTGCAGTGCTGTCCCATGGCAGCCGCCCCAGCAGAGAGCTCCAGGAGCCATGGGAAGGGGCTGGAGCAGAGCCAGAGCCACAGCAGCTCTGCCTTGGACTATTCAGGAGACACCTTTGAGTCCTTCAGCGAGGAGGAGGAGAGTGAAGCCCCTGGATGCTGGTGTTCCACAGAGGATTTGGAGGGGGCAGCTGTGTCAGAGGCTTTGGAAAGCTCAGCATCACTGGCAGGGCAAAGTGCTGCAGGTATGCAGAGCTCTCCCTGCTTGAGACCTGCCTTCCACAGCTCCTGTCAGTGCAGTGGGGACTCAAATCAGTAAAAATAAACATGTGAAAACTGCATGCAGTGTCCTTGCTGTGCAGAGTGCCCACCAGATCCGTGCTTCAGACAGCTCCATGGGAAGGACTTGGCCATGGAAATCCTTCCTTAGTAACCTTGTGGTGCTGAAATTCTGTTGGCACCTTAAAAACCAATTCTCCAAGCTACTTTTTACCATGTATGAAAAGTAGCTGGGCCATAAAACAATTTTTCCATGGGATAGTTCCATGATTTAAAATACTGAAGAGGGCTAGGTAGGGCCTTAAAGCTGCAGCAGAGGAGGGATAAAGCAGGAGCTGAAATCTGTGGCCTCATCTGTGCAGTGCTGTGGCTCAGGGTTTCTCCTCCCTAGCAGGGAGAGCTGGCACATTCAAGTGGAGGATTATTTGCCACCCACTTTGCTTTCCTCACAATGTGTGTTCAAAGTTGCCTTTTTTCCTTGCAGAGGAGGAGTCTGAAGCAGTGGATCCTGCAGCTGTGGAAAGAGCTGCCATAGGAAAATGGATTGATACCATGGGAAAGTGGATTGATCTGAAAAATAAAGACACTGGGATTAGGCCAGACAAATCTGCCATCACAACTCCTGCTGGTGAGTTGGGTAACTTCAGCAGAGCCTGTAATTGTTTCTTTTGGAAGGAGATGTAAACTTGACTTAAATTTTATACACAGGCTATTAAATCAAGGCAGCTAATTAGCCTGGCTTAATTAGCCAAGTAATTAAGTGCAAAGTTTCTCTTTTATGCTTTCTTGGAGAGCAGCTTGTCTCCCATATCACACATGGCTTTGATGCTCCCCCCATGTAGTGACATTATCCTGGTGATGCATTACCACACAACCTGGAAAAGTACATTCAAAAATGTCCCCATGTTTGACACTTAATTGTTTAATTTAATTCAGGATTTTTCTCTCCAGCTGTAGAGGAAATTTGGGCATTTTCCCCTCCAAAATATACACGGCTTCAGAATTTATTGTGTGACATTGTTTTTCCCCCTTGTTATTGATAATTGAATTATTTATTTGCCCTATTTTAGTTCCTTTCCCAAGCTGAGGGAGGCAGTAGGGCTCCAATTTTGGCAGGAACAATGGAGCAGCTTTACCCAAATAATGATGGAGTGCAGGGAGGAGGAGGAGGAGGAGGAGAAGGGAAAGGAGGAAGGAAGGATCCATTTCCATGTACCAGTTATGCAAGGAGCTGTGAGAGCAGATGGTGGGATGCAAGCCCTGCTAAAGTCTGTCAAAAAGTGGGTCAGAGATGCTATTTTGAATTAAGAAAAAAGAGCAAAAAAGCTGTAACTGAGCAAAAAATAATGGGAGCAGACGGGGAACCTTCCTCAATCTCCATGTTGATGGGAGGTGAGCACACTTGGAGTTTTGTAGGTCACTGTGGGACAGGGATCCTCCTGCCTGGGCCCTTCATGGTGTGGGATTTGTGCTCCAGCATGCTCAGAGCACCCATCTGCCCTAAGGAAGCAGCACCTGCCAGGCTGGTGAGAGCAGAGCTCCTTCCCCACAGTGTCAGTGCTGGGGCTCCTGACTCATCTCCTGCTTTGTTCTGCAGTCAGGGCAGTGGGGAGCAGCTCATCCTGGGCTGCTCCTGCAGGAGAATCTTCCCAAAATACACCAGAGCCCTGTGACTGACTCCTGGAGACGGAGAACGGGACCTGGTGGGCTCAGAGGCACTGAGGGGAGGATGAGCCACAGCTGAAGCTTGGGGATGATTTCCCTTGAAAGTTGCACTCACTCAGAGGATTTTATTCATAGAAGGCCTTGCAGATCCCTGCAGTTCCTCACCAGGGAATCTGTGCCTTTGGCTGGTGGGTGCTGAGGGCAGGGGGAGTCAGAGAGAGCACTGAGGCTGGAGCAGCAAATCCTGCTCCATTGTTGAAAGCGAAGGGAGACGACCCATCCTTGTTGATCAGCATCAAACTCCGATTTATTGATCCCACTTACACACCTTTATAGTGGTGTTAATTAAGCTTATACATATTAAAAAACTCGAGCTCATCATTGGCCACAGACTACACACCAACCCCTCCTTTTGTTTTCAATACCTGTGGTTTGTTATTGAAACCAAGATTTGTGTTCTCACCCTGATATGAAAGGTTCTCAAAACCTCCATGTCTGTTCCCAAAACAGCCAAGGACAGAAAGTTTACCTGTTACGAGAAGACTGCCTGAGAACTTAGCTGTTTACAGAAACAGGCTGTGAGAATTTGCTCCTCACAGCTGCCTTTTACTTTTCCATCAGCTGTATATTTTCATGGCCTTTTTTCCTTCAAGCCATGTCTGAGCAAAATTCTCCAACACTCCATGATCTTGAGCTGATGATGCAGAGCTGGCTTGTCCTTGCTGCTCCTGTCACTTGTCCCTGTGGCAGCCTCAGGTACACTGGTGCTTCCAATGATCCATATGAGCAGCACAAAATATGGTTCCTGCTTTTCCTTGATGCAAACAGAGTACCCAGCCAGGCTATCCCCAAATCAATCATAATTAGCCATGCACTGCATTTTTTAATTGCAGAATATTACCACAAAATAGCCACAGCAACTCTTCTGATATCTGTAAATGCTTCTCTTGAACTTAATCCTTCAGCACATGGTATCCCCAAATCTTGTGTTGTTTTAGCAGCTTGGAGATGTTTTTTTAATGCAGCAGATGAGCTCACCTGGAAGTGGATTGCTGCACAGTGAGTCCCCTCAGAACACTCAGCTCAGTGAATCACAGAGCACACAGGGTGCTCTGAATTGGGGTTTGTTTTATTGCCTCAAGACTTTCCTTCTCATCTTACTCCTAATAGGGTTAAATGTGATGGGGGAGCAAAAGGTTCTGCTTTGCATGTAGGAACACTCTGGAATGTCATTTTTATTTTTCATGGTTTTCTTTGTGGGCTGAAAGAAGGAAAACACGCTGGCCTCAGGTGAAGTGAGGAATTTTCATCAGAGTTCTTTGTCCCTGCACCCCAGTGTGGAAGCACGAGCTGTTATTAGGCAAATGCATCACAACATGAGTGTAAATCCTCAGTTCCACAGAGATTGCTCCATGTTAGTCATCTTTAAAATGTACTCAGGAAAAGGCAATTCTTCAGCTTTCTGTATCTGAGAATTCAGGTGGGGCTCTTTAACCCCCTGGCTGGTGCTGTGCTCACCAGCTGCCTCTCCATCAAATGCTTTGCCTGTTTGTTTTTCTGCCCTGCTCCTGTAATTGTTCCCTGGAGGGTGGGGATGCCCTGGCACAGCTGCCCAGAGGAGCTGGAGCTGCCCCATCCCTGGCAGTGCCCAAGGCTGGGTTGGACAGGGTTTGGAGCACCTGGGACAGTGGGATGTGTCCCAGTGTGGCCCTGGATGGGCTTTAAGGTCCTTCTAACCCAGCTTGCTATGTGACTCTGGGATGATTCACTGTGCTGGAGGAGTTTTACTCATTTGAAATTCCTATTTGTGATGAACAGCCTGACATTTCAGCCTGTTTCTCTGCCCTGTGGTACCTGCAGGGGTCTTTCTCGTGTTCTTTGCAGGCCAGGCTGTCAGCATGTTCATCTGAACTGTAAAATCAATCTAGGGCATTATGAAGATGCAATCTGGAGCTGCAGAGGTAAAACCTTACTGCAGAGCAGTTATTGATTATTGCTTTTCACAGTTATCTCTTTTTACTTTTTACCTTCTTTAAAATAGAATATTGGTAGGGAATAATAACAACAAAATGCCTGCCAATTTCCCTGTTAAATCAAAGTTAGACATCAAAGGAAAAGGCAACTCATAAATATTTTCTTCTTTTCCTCCCTCCTGCTGGATTTCAAATGTCACACTTAAGTGTGACATTTAAGGAGTTAAAACCTATATAGGTCACTGAAAAAACCTACAAAAGCTACACAGGTCACTGAGTTCCCTCAGCAGGGTTTGGGCTGCAGACATGAGGGTTAGCTGGTCTCTCCTGGGCTGCTTCCTGCACTTTGTGAAGCTTTTCTGCCTAAACATTGCACATTTAGTCACCTTCCTGGGTGAGATGGGGCTGGGGTTGATGCTGTGCTGCTGTCACTTGGGCTGCTCTTGTCACCTGCTCTGCCTTACTGAGAGGTCACACTGGATTTGGAGTAACAAACATCAGGAAAATGTCCTTGTGGAGCAGCCATGGGCACTGGCAGGGATTCTGTGCACTGCAGAAGGAGCATTGCAGCAGGTCTGCATCACACATGGAAAACAGGGAATCTACATGGAATTAACCCAACCCAAAGCAGGAGCTGAGATCCCCTGGGCAGGTGAACCTCCCACACCTGGGGGAGATCTGTGTGTGCAAATACTTCAGTTAAAAGACAAACTTTCCTCATCTTTTTTTGGGTTTCTTTCAGAAAAATTCTAGCCCTTGATCCCTAATTTAAATTCTTTCTGAACTTGCTGTTAAGCATGAGTTAATGTGGAGGAATAACTCCAGCACTGAGTCGTGCAGTGAGGTTTAAAAATTGCTGCTCCCTTTGCCAGTGTTTCTTCTGAAGTCTGGAGGTGCAGATGAGCAGATGGGTGGGTGTGTGGCAGCACAGGATTTATGCATTATTAGAAACCAATTCTTAATAAAATTGCACTTGTGGATGTCAGAAGAACCTTAAGTGAGTTATTCAGGCTGGTATTAAACTGTCACTGAATGCTCAGTGGACCTGATGTGTTTTACTTCTCCCTCTGAGTACTCAAATGCTTTTGTTCTGGGTTTTTTCCCCCCTCACAATGGTAACTTTTTAATCTTCTTATTCATTCTATGTTCAGCATAAATGAACCTGCCAGGAATGTTTTATTAGTGTGATTAAACCCAGTAGTGGCACATGATTTCCACTTTTTTACACAATTTTTGTGAGGAAAATCACCTGATGACTGAAATGAAGGTTTCCACTCACATATTTATGATGCTCCCTCGGAATTTTTTTTAAATTAAATTTCCTTTTAAGATGTTGCTAATTCTTGTTTATGTGTCTATAAATTGTCTTTCCTTTTAATCATTTTGAGACATCATTTTCTTAGGAGGAGTAAATTGCTATGTGGTGTTCAATTCTGAACTTAAACATATTTTCCATGTTGTCCACAGAGCCACAAAATTCCTGTTTTAGTTTTAATTATGGATTCCCTTATCCTTTAGAAACACTGGATTTCTGAGGAGATGCTCAGTTTCTTTGCAGAGTTCCACAACTGTGTCCTGTGCACTCAGGACTAAATAAATCCCAGGGAGTTTGGGGGAAGTTTTATATTCCAGTTGTTCAGTATTTTGAGGATTTGTGTTGTGGGACTGGAATGCCAAGTCTGGAAATTGAATTTAATCCTGAAAAGAGAAAATGTGGAGAGGTTGTTCAAATGATACAACCCAAGCTCCCAGCAGGAATTTGGGTGTGAATCCTTGGGGTTAAACACTTTGGGGTCCCCACCTGCCTGATTTTGGGGGAAATCTGCCCATGGAAACCTGGAGAGCCCCATCCTGAGCTGCTGGCCATGAAATACTGCCCTGCTTGTGCTCTGAGCCTCTGGAAAACCTCCCCCAAAAGCCCTGAATGAAGTTGTAAATCCATCCTAACCCACCCAGCTGAAGTCTAATCTCTGTTTTATTTATTTTTATGTGCCACTGGGAAGGATAAGGGAAGATGAAGGAGGGAATGATGTTTTTGAAATAAGATCTTCTAAAGAATTTAGGAAATGATTGTTGAAGCTTTAGATAAGAAGTGTTTTCTAATTGCATTTTCTCCAAAAAAAATTGCTTTTCTGTAGTTTGTGGAATTTATTGGAGGTGTTTCCAGGGTGCCTTCAGTGGACACTGCCTCTAATTTTTCTTACAAATTGCTCCTTAGAGTTATTGATGAGATCTCTCTTGATATATTAATTCATTTGGGTTTAGCAAGTTGCAGTTTCAGGTGGTGAGGTGCTAAATCTGTATTATTGACAGCCAGTTTATTTAATGTCTTAGTGTTTAACTGCTTGCTTTGCTAATCTGTTTATCCTGTGCCATTAACCTTTTGTCTTTTTATTTCCTCACATCTTTGGAGCCTCTTTTAGAGCCATTGATTGTGCAGGTTCCTACAGCTCCCATCCACATTTGTGTTTAAATTCTGATTTTAGAATTTTAGAGCCATTTGTTCTGCAGGTTCCTACAGCTCCCATCCAGATTTGTGTTTAGATTCTGATTTTGGACTCAATTATTGTGCAAGTTCCTACTGCTCCTATCCACATTTATGTTTAAATTCTGATTTTGGAGCCTGTTTTAGGGCCAGTTATTGTGCAGGTTCCTATCGCTCCCATCCACATTTGTGTTTAAATTCTGATTTTGGAGCCATTTATTGTGCAGGTTCCTACAGCTCCCATCCCATTTTGGTGTAAATTCTGATTTTGGAGCCATTTATTGTGCAAGTTTTTACAGCTGCCATCCGCATTGTGTTTAAATTCTGATTTTGGAGCCTGTTTTAGAGCCTTTTATTATGCAAGTTCCTACAGCTCCCATCCCCGTTTGTGTTTAAATTCTGATTTTGGAGCCAATTATTGTGCAGGTTCCTACAGCTCCCATCCAGATTTGTGATTAAATTCTGATTTTGGAGCCTCTTTTAGGGCATTTTATTGTGCAAGTTCCTACAGCTCCCATCCCATTTGTGTTTAAATTCTGATTTTGGAGCCAATTATTGTGCAGGTTCCTACAGCTCCTCTCCAGATTGTGTTTAAATTCTGATTTTAGAACCATTTATTGTGCAAATTCCTACAGCTCCTCTCCAGATTGTGTTTAAATTCTGATTTTAGAACCATTTATTGTGCAAATTCCTACAGCTCCTCTCCAGATTGTGTTTAAATTCTGATTTTAGAACCATTTATTGTGCAGGTTCCTATAGCCCCCATCCCCATTTGTGTTTAAATTCTGATTTTGGAGCCTGTTTTAAAGCTATTTATTGTGCAAGTTCCTACACCTCTCACACACATTTGTGTTTAGAATTCTAATTTTGGAGCCAATTATTGTGCAGGTTCCTAGAGCTCCCATCCACATTTGTGCTTTAATTCTGATTTTGGAGCCTCTTTTAGAGCCATTTGTTGTGCAAGTTCATACAGCTCCCAACTCCATTTGTGTTTAAATTCTTATTTTAGAGCCAACTATTTTGCAGGTTCCTACAGCTGCCATCCCATTTCTGTTTAAATTCTGATTTTTGAGCCATTTATTGTGCAGGTTCCTACAGCTCCCATCCACATTTATGTTTAAATTCTGATTTTGGAGCCTGTTTTAGGGCCATTTATAGTGCAGGTTCCCAGAGCTTCCATCCCATTTGTGTTTAGCTCAGTGCTGCTGCAGGCAGGGCCTGGCCTGGGTTTGGCTCTCCTTTGCCCACAGGAGCTCACACAGATGCAGAGCTGCCATTCCTCTGTCCCTGGCACAGCCACTGATGCCTTTCCCTGTTGCTTTTAGGAATTTCTGGGCTCTCCCAGGCAGAGCTGGGGGCTCTGAGCCGTTTCTGCAGCAGCAGGATCAGCAGCATGCAGCAGCAGCAGGCACACAGGGGCAGGAGGCTGCACTGGGGAGCCCCAGCAAGGCAGACTGAGCCAGGACAGTCCTGTGCTGTTCCTGCCCAGCTGATGAACAGGATCCTGCTGGAAAACACCAGGGAGGCTCTGAAACAGGTACTGGGGGAGACAAAGGGAGATTTCCCCTAAATTCTGGAGAACCACTGCAGAAAAAAGCCATAATAACAGGATCAAGGCAGGCAGACCTTACTGATGCCAGGCTCAGGCCTCTGGAAGAGGTTTTGGGTTGACAGCCCAAGATTTAATCTTCTCATTTCTTAGACATTGTCACAGGATTTTTCATTAAATGTGTCTTTCCTTAGGATTTTTCCTCCTGAGAATCTGAGAGGCCTCAGGAACAAAATGTAAACAATGGTTATCTGCTGCTGTGGAATGCAACAGGTGCATCTGGGATTGGTCTCATGTGGTTGTTTGTAATTAATGGCCAATCACAGTCAGCTGGCTCAGACTCTGTCCCAGTCACAAGCTTTTGTTATCAGTCTTTCTTTTTCTATTCTTAGCCAGCCTTCTGATGAAATCCTTTCTTCTATTCTTTTAGTATAGTTTTAATATAATATACATCATAAAATAATAAATCAGCCTTCTGAAACATGGAGTCAGATCCTTGTCTGTTCCCTCATCCTCAAACCCCTGTGAACACGGTCACAATACATCACTTTAGATGCTAGCAAATAATCACCATAAACTATTGTCTGCTGATAAAATCCTAATTTGTGTGATTGAGCAAGGCTGGGGTCATCATTTATTTTACAAGAAGCCCTGGACCAGCTAGAGGAAAAAGCCTTTTTCTCTGATTGTGTTTGCCCCTATTATTTATCAAATTATTCTGCATATTATTTGTTGTGAAGTCTTTGGGACTCCAGGATTAGAAGAATTCCAAAGACAGAACCTCCCTGTGCTCCCAGCTTTCTCAGGTATTAGATAATATTGATAAAAACTGTTCCAATAAAATCTTGCTGACCTCAGTCCCTGCTTAAGAAGCCTCTGTCTCATCTTTACCCTATTCAAATCTCTTTTTTTTGTCACCAGCCCAGTGTTTTTTTCCCACCACAGGATGGGTTTTATGCCCCAGCTCCTCCCCTCAGCCCTGCACCTAAAAATAACACTTTAAAGTCAGTTCTGATGTGATAATTATTTCAGCCTTCCTGTCTTTTAAAACAATTTTGACATTTCAGCCATCTGCTTTTAAAATTTCTGTTAATGTTAACCTACCTTGCAAATTTAGTGGATTTTTTTATTTCCTCTTTCTTTGTCTTCCATTGTGGGAATACATTCCCTGAGAAAAGTGACTTCATCTGCTTGGTTCTGTCTGTAGCTCCACACAACATTTTTATCCAGAGAAGTCAGGGAAAAGGGGACAGAGGGGCCTGGGATGGGACTTCCTTGGGCTGATTCCTCTGTCTTTGTAGCAATTGAATGTGTTTGTGGAGCCAGATGGAATCTGAGTCAATTAGATCAGATAAAACCATTGATATTTCATAAAAGCACAAACCCTGGGATTTGTGTAATGCTGTTAAATAAGCTTAAGATTTCATGGTGGATAACCTGACCCAGGAATCACTGAGCAGCACTGATTATCTCACAGACAGAGCTGCAGAGTCTGGGCTGGATTCTGGCTCAGAGCTGCATGTTTGAACTAATGGCTCCAGAGTTTATTTGCCTCTTAATTTATTTATAACATGTATAAATATAATTTATAATCATAGCCCCTCTGGTTGCTGCTTAAAGCCTTGCACACAGCCAGCATAGGAGCAGTTATAGATGATGGAATTGTGACTCTGAATTATTTTACCACTGCCTAAAAAGCCAATTTTTGTCTTTAGTGTACTTTTATTGATTGTTCTCAAAGTTGCCAGGCCAGACATCGCTCATGGCATCAAAGTTTCCTCTCCCAGGTGACAGAAGCTGAAGTCCATGAGGTTTCAACCTGTCCTGGCTGCCAGCAGAAGGAAGCAGAGCTGGCCAAGGTTGCCTTTCTCAGGAAAAAGAAGACTCTGCTGGAAGGTGCTTTAATCCAAGAGAAGCTGGAAGAACAGTTTTACTCCAGGGTAAGCAAATATTGCTGAAAAAAATTCATGCTACATTTTTATAGGTGCTGTAATGAAAGAATCTGTAATTCAGATTCTCCCTGATTTATGGCAGTGAGATCAGTGCAAACCAAAATAGAATTTGGGTCCATTTCATTAATAAAGTGCTTGGGACCAACGTTCTCCTCAAGTCATTGGAGCTGCTGATTTGTGGAAGCTGAAGGTCATTCCCAGGCTGTCCTGGAATGTGTTTGGGTCCCTTTTGATTGTGTCTCCCCAGTTTTTCTGCTGGGCTGTCCAAGCTGAAATGGCAAATCAAATGATGTGATAGGAGGTGACTGCCCCCGCTGGGCTTCCTTGCTCACCCTTTGGGAATCTTGCAGTAGGACACTGCAATGTGTGATGGAGGCTGAGGTTTTTCTAGAATACTCTGAGATTTCTGCTTGCAATTCCTGTCTCTGTGCCAGTGTCCCAGGGATGGAAGCTTTGTTGGTAGGAATTGCCTCTGGAGCGGCTGGGGGAGCAATGAAATGTGCAGAATTCCCTGGGCCTCCCGTGGCTGCTCTTCAGGAGGATCCTTGTAGCCATGGTATTTTCTGAAAAATCCTTTCCTTAGGATTTTTTCTCCTGAGAAGCTGGGAGGCCTCAGGAGCAAAATGTAAACAATGGTTATCTGCTGCTGTGGAATGCAACAGGTGCATCTGTGATTGGTCTCATGTGGTTGTTTCTAATTAATGGCCAATCACAGTCAGCTGGCTCAGACTGTCTGGTCAGTCACAAGCCTTTGTTATCATTCTTTCCTTTTCTATTCTTAGCCAGCCTTCTGATGAAATCCTTTCTTCTCTTCTTTTAGTATAGTTTTCATATAATATATATGATAAAACAATAAATCAGCCTTCTGAAACATGGAGTCAGATCCTCATCTCTTCCCTCATCCTCAGACCCCTGTGAACACCACCACACATCCTCCTGATGGAAGAGCTCTTCTTTCCCTCCTTGGGAGGGGGAGCCTGAAGGGAGGAGCCTTCCTGCAACTCCCAGCTCTCTTCTCATGTTGAACAACCTGGGAGTTTGAGCTGTACCACACATTCCTTTCTTCCCTAGTGTAATTCCACTCTCCAGCATTTTGACTCTTCCTCACTCCCTACCTAAGATTTGAGAGTTTCAGCCTCAGGTGAGGCTTCACTTTTTCCCATTTTTCCCCCATGCAAGGCTAGCTGCTTTTCCCTGACCCTCCTCAGGGAAGATTCCTGCTTTTTGGGCCAGAGTTTTTAATCAGAATCCTTTCAAACCCACCAAAGTGTGTGGAGGAGTGCTGCCCACCTGGCTGGGCTTGAGGGGCTGGGTGTGTGCTACAGGCCATGAGAAATGGCAGAGATACAGTCCTGAATAATTCCATGTTTGCTTTCTGTTTCAGGACATGCTCACACTTCTAGGAGAAGCACTCAGAAGCTTTCCCAAACCTTCAGAGGATCCCAGGGATTTGTGGCAAAGGCTGAAGGGTCAGGAGTGGAAAGACTGAATGGATCATAACTCCAGTGGGTGAAGAACTGGGAGAGCCTCCTGTGGGCAGTCAGCTCCAGAATTCCAATAATTTTGGATCTGAGCTGCTGTGGCAGTGATGGATTGGGTGCTGCTTTAATATTCCTGCAGGTGGAACCAGATCTGCCTGGCTGGGCTGTGAGTCAACCTCTCCTCAATGCAAATGTTGCAGGATATTGTAATCCATCTCCATGGGTTTCTCAAATTCCAGAAGCCAGCAGTTTCCATTATTAATCTGGCAAGGCAGAAGAATTGTTTTTTGGGGGATTGCTGTGGGATTGCAGAGCAGCTCCCAGCTCCCTCCATCCATAAGGAAAATAAATGATTCTGTTTGCCAGGGCAGGGAGGTGTAATCACTGCATCTCAGCTCAGGCTTTGCCCACTGCCTCATGGTAAATTGAAAGTGAGAGCCCCAGGTGGAAGACAAAAAGCAAAGTTAACTATAAAAAGCAGTAAAATGAAATGAAGTATTTATAGAAGGGAATTAATGAGGTTGTAACAGAAATTAATCAGCAGGGCTGGGGGTGCCAATGGGATGAGAAATGATAATAAATTAATCATGGAATCTATATAGGATAGAGAAAAACAAGCAACAAATGAAAACTGGGAGAAGAATTGCAAGAAAATACTTGGGAATTTGTTGTAATTTTTCAAGATGAGGAAATCACTGTTGTTCAAAGATGATCTGGGGTTCAGTACACATCCAAATAAATGGAATTATGATGGGAATCTTTGGGTTAGACAGTGAAATCATCCTCACTGTGCCCTCCAAAGCCTGGTGCTGCTCTGTGGGCACCCCTGCAGCCCTTTGTGACCAAAGCTGACAGCAGGGGCTCAGGCCTGACTCTTCTCAGCCTCCCATTTCCTGACTTCTCTGCATTCCCATCTCTGTGGAAACCTTGGAGGGACATCCCTATCTCTGAACCCACACTGTATTTTTGTGCCAAAGCAGAGGGAATTAAATCCCCCTGTTGCATTTTCTTCCCCCATTTGCATCTTCTTTCCCCCAGAGCCCTCACTGCTGCCTTAAGGGGGGTTTGTATTTCATGGGGTTGTTTCCCTCCTCTGCTCTGGATTGTTTATCAGAGTCCTTGAGGGCTGTGTAGCCTCTTGTTCTCCCTTCCCACAAACCATGGAAAACCTGGAGGGAAATGCTGGGATATAAACAGAAGTGTTAGCAAAGTTCTGCCTTCTGCTGCTTAAAAATCTGCTCAGAGTGATTTCCCTGGGAGTGGATCCTGAGTAGGTGAAGCCCAGGTGGGAGCCCAGCCCAGCCCTGAGTTCCTCACTGCTGCTTGTCCTTGCAAACAGCTTTAATAATCCATCAAAAATACTGCCCCAACAGCATCCTCTTTGGAATTGTCCCTGCAGGGCACTTGGATAATGAATGAACTCTGCTTGTTCCTTCCTGTTGCTCTGGGATCCTTGGAAATGTTTGAACCCTTAAACCTCCTGCTTTCCAATCTCCTCCTGGGTGCCCCCCTCTGTTCCTTGTTTTGCTCTGCACTCCCTGGTTCTCTGAGCCTCTGGAAGTCTCTGCACACACTGGGAGAGGCACCCAGAATTACAGGTGGGGCCTTGGAAGGGCTGTCAGGTGTACAGGGGGTGATCAGGAACTGAATCCTTGGAAATTGTCATTTTGTAGCACAGATTTGAGCCCTTGCAGACCCACAAAGACTGACTTCCATGCACATGTTGATATTTCTGTTTTCAGAACACAGAACCTTTCTAGAGCTGCTGAAATTCCTTTGCAGCTGCTGTCAGCCTTTCTGTAAATCTGAACTGTGAGTTATTTGGGTTATGTGGCTGACAGTGTTTGTCTGTGGAGCTCACACACAGTGCCTGCACAGCTCCTGTTTGTTTGCATAAATGTTACAAACAGAACTCAGGTAACTCCTCAGCAAAATCAAAGCAGATTTTGCTGATGGCTGTTGGATGCATTTTCCTGCTGCTCACTCCAGTTGTTTCATTCTTTTATCAGCAGTGACTCTGAGATCTGAGTGTTTTCTTTATGCAATGGAATGAATGATCTGATCTCCTAAATAATTTATTTTCTAATCCTGCACTTTTTGAGGCTGGAGATCCAGAACTCTGCCATGTGGGAAAGAGGATGGGTGATGTATTTTCCTTTTTCCCCTTCCAGAAGCTCCTCCCTCCAGCAGATTTCTCTTTTGATCCACAGAAACCTCAAAACTCTGGTCAAGGAATATTGGCTCATCTGCTGCCTGGTTTGTGCTTGCTGGGGCATAAAAGGAGCAGGGTGGCTCAAGAGGGAAAAGCAGCTGTGCCTGTGAAACAAATCAATCTGCCTCTTCAAAGTGCTCTGCAGCTTTGCCTTGTGGCTTTCATGGCACCCAGAGCTGGATGATTTCATCTTCTGGGTGATTGCTGATGTGGTGGGGTTCATTGCTCTGTGCTCACAGAGAAGGTTTCTCCCATCTCAGTTGTTTCATGCTCTGTGTGTGCTGATACCCACTTTTGGGGTGTTGGATTTTATAACTGACCTTTTGGAGAAACTTGCATTCCTCACATTATCAATAAAATAAATTTCCCATGGACTGCAGCACTGTAACTTCCCCTTTCATATGCTGTAGCTTTATAAAAACCACCCTGCACCCTGCACTCCAGGCTCCCTCATTCCTTGTCCCCTTTCCAGCCATCTCTCCTGCTCAAGGAATTTGTATCTCTAGGAAAACTTCCAGCTCAGTCCCAGCAGCTCTGAGTGGGAATGAGGTTTTAGTGGCATTCACTCCCTGGATCTGAGCTGGCAACAAAGCTGAACATTCCCAAATTACCTGTTCTGGTGGAAAGTGTCCCTGTCCATGGCAGGGGTGGCACTGGAGGAGCTTTAAGGTCCCTTCCAACCCAAACCATCCCACAATTCTGGGATATTTAAATTGGGATTTCCAGCTACTGAGGAAATCCTTTGTGGTCCCACTGGTCCAGTGTAGGATCAGGGAAGAGTTTGAGTTGGAAGAGACCTTCCAAAGGCCACCTAACCCCCAAAGGCCACCTTACACCTCCCACCATTCCAGGGTGGTCTAACCTGGCTTTGGACACTTTCAGGGATCCAGGAGCAGCCGCAGCTTCTCTGGGAATTTTATTACAGGGTCTGCCCATCCTCAGTGTAAAAACCTCCTTGTATCTGGTCGAAAGGAGCCCTCCTGCAGGTAAACCCACCCTCCCTTGTCCTGGGGGCCTGCTCAGAGCTGTGCCCCACCTTTCCTGTGACCCCCTTCAGGTACAGGAATGTTCCTGGAGCCTTCCCTTCTCCAGCTGAACACTCCCAAAGCTCAGTTTCTCCTCAGGGCAGAGGGGCTCCAGCCCTCAGAGCACGTTTGTGTCCTCCTTCCATTAATCCTGAACATTTCCCTGAAGTTCCAGGAATATCTGCAATGCTCCAGGCTCCCCTGGGGTCCCTCAGGGCCTCCTCAGAAATTCCCCTCACAGGGTTGGTGTGTGGTGAGACTTGGGTAGTTTTTTAATTCTATTTTTTACCACAGCTAATTTGATGAGGTTCCAAGAAAAGGAGCTGAACTCATTTATTCCTGTTGGGAACTTGGCAGAAGTTTTCAGCTGCTGGCATCAAGGACAAGGGCACCCAGCTCTCAGTGAACCCTGAGCTGAGAGCACTTCAAACCATCCACATATCCTCCAGCAAGGGCTGCAGTGCTCCCAGCTCTGCATTCTTCAAGCATTTTCCAATCTCCCTGCATTGCTCAAGCTGTGATTTTATTACCACTGGATGTGATTTTCAGAGAGTGACTTTTGATCGTGTCCCTGAGGGAGGCACTGGGTGTGTGCAGATCAGCCCTGCCTGCCCCAGGGCTGCCTTCCTGCCTGCTCTGCCTTCAAATGATGGCAAACCAGATATTAATCCTACCCACTGATATTAATCCTACCCACTGATATTAGTCCTACCCACTGATATTAATCCTACCCACTGATATTAATCCTATCAACACCACATTTGCATTGGTTTCATGCAACTTTTTGTCCCCTTTTTTTCCTCCACAACTGATTTTGAAGCTCTTTGGCAGCACTGACAGCACCAGGATGTGGATGGGAGATGAGGGGGAGTGGATTCCTTCTGTCAGGGTCCTCCATTTTCCAGATTACCTAAAGAATTGATCAGTGTACTTAAAAAAAAAACCAAACCCAAACATTTTCCAGCTTCTGGGCATGGATATTCACTGCTTATTTATTCATTTATTTATTCTGTAATAAAATAGTCCTGTTCTCACAGACTAGGCTGTATGATCCATAAATACCCTTGTAAAATAGATTTGTAGCATGTAACAGAATCGCTTAGAATATTCTGTGAAAATTCTTTTTTTGTTGTTGTTGCTGTTGATAGCACTTTCAGAACATTTACATCCTTCATCCTGACATTTTGAAATAGAACATTTTTTCCTACAGAGGTAAGTTTACAGCATCATCACAGTATTATAGCTTGTTTAAAAATACATACAGCAGAACTGGTAATTGCAAGCAAGCTGGAGACTTGAGCAGGGGGCTGGTGGCAACTTCACATGGTTCCTACTTTATAAAACAATGACATTTATTAATATTACATCCATCACTTGGTTAGAAAAGATTACTTAGATGTGCTACTCACAAGAAATCTGTCATTTTTCTGTGACATCACAGGACAGGCTATGGAAATAGAAACACTCCATGGTATGGGTGGTTTAAAAAGGTGGTTAATTAAAAAAAGGGGTTTAGGCTGTTTTATCCCTTAGGAATTTGAGTTCCATTAATACTGGATGTCCTTAATCCACTTGGGATGCCACAAGCAGCTCTCAGCACAGCCCTGGTGTGAAGGGAGCACTGAAATGTCACTGCAATGTGGCCCAGGATGGCAGCCCCAGCCCTGTGGGACCAGCACAGCTCAGCCCCCCTGGGTACCCCAAATCTACCTCTTCACTTTCTAGGGGCTCTGTGAAAGACTGAGAGCAACAGAGTGAAATTTGGAATATTTGAAATACTTGCAATACTGGAAATTGTGAAAAAATGTACAGAAAATTCTGGTTAAGGTTGGAATGGAGCTAAAAACTCCTCCCATTCCAGCCCTGCCATGGCAGGGACACCTCCCACTGTCCCCAGACTGCTCCAGCCTGGCCTTGGGCACTGCCAGGGATCCAGGGGCAGCCCCAGCTTCTCTGGGCACCTGTGCCAGGGCCTCCCCACCCTCACAGGCACTGCCAGTTTGCCCAGTGAGGATTAAAATGACAGAAGAGATTAAAAATACATCATTGCATTGGTTTTACTTTGCACAAATGAGACTAAATGTATAAATATATATATGTATATGTATAATAAACTGTAGGAAATCTCCAAACTGCTAACAACTCTTAGAAATGAGATAAAACAACGATGAGTTTGCTTGGAAATCCCAAATTTGCAGTTCTCTCACGATTTTCATTTGCAGGTAATTCAAGAGTCCTTCATCATGGTGGATCCTGGTTTCCTCGTTTTATGAAACAAGTTCAGGTGTGCTTTGGCAAATGCTCTTTTCTTGGTCTCTCTGATACTCCTCTTGTGCTTTCTGCAGTCTTCTCCCTCTGAGTTTCCACTTGTGGAAGCAGTAGGTGACGAGGGACGTCATGACCAGGGAGAAGAGGATGGCCAGCACCACGATGAGGGCGATGGTGGACGAGAGGGAGCCCTGCAGCTGCTCGCTCTCCGTGTCCCCGGTGGAGTTCACAGCAGCAAAGTTCTCGTACTCTGCTGGGGCCACAAGGGCAGCTCCAGGAGCCTCCCTCAGCTTGGGCCTCATTGGGACTCGGGAGTGTTCTCAGGATCCTGGAGAAGCAGATTCAGGAGTGCCCTGTCACATCCAGGAGCCACCTTTGGGTGCTGCAGGCATGGGGGACACTCAGCAGTGGAGAGCAGGAGCTGCAGCCTCCAGCACAGGTCAGCTCTATCCCAGGTGGGTCAGTTTTATCCCAGCTCTATCCCAGGTGGGTCAGCTCTATCCCAGCTTTATCCCAGGTGGGTCAGCTTTATCCCAACTTTATATCCCAGCTTTCTCCCTGATTTGGGTCAAGAATGTGCTGCTTTCTTCATCAGCTCAGCCAGCTGCCAGTTTGGGATTCCTTGTTTTCTGCAAGAGATAATTGGAGAAAATCCAATCAGTTTTCCACTGAGGCAGAGCTTGTCCCGGGGCTGAAAGCAAACCAAGTGCTGCAACAAGTGTAACTTTCTATCAGAGGAATTGTTTCAGTGGAAGATTTTTTTTCTTTCCCAAAATGTTCCCAGAAGAGAGGGAAATCAAAGGCCTGTTTTGTACATTACCCACAGTAACAAAATCAGCTGCAAATGGGAGTTCTGACATTATTGAAGGGGTTTCATTTCCCCTCTTCTATGTATCTGCTTTTGCACTGGGCTGGAGTTTGGGGTTAAATCCTCTGGAGTTTTAGTTATAGTGGGACCGAGGAGGTTTCCTCACTGATTGCAAATCTGGGATCTGCAGAAAGGTCCTGGGTGAAAAACCACCCGGATTAGTGGAGAGGTGAGCTCCCCTACAGGCACTGAGCTGTAAACTGAATTTAACCCCCCGCTCCCTTCCACAGTTCTGCTGGAATTTCAGAGACTTTTAAGTCATTTGCCTTTGATATGAGCTGTGTGTGACAAATCCTAAAAAATTCACTCATCTGAGCAGTTCTGAAGCCCAAAGCTGCTCTGCCCTCCCCATTCCCTCCCTGATCCAAATCCCATTTTGGAGTTAAACCTGAGGAACGAGGCTGCTCTGCTCTGGATTCCTGTTTCCAATCGGGACAGGGGGATTTGCCTCGGGATATTTTCCTCTGAGGAGCTGTAAGCACGTTCAGGGCTATTTATTTCAAACAACAGCTTGCTCCAAACCCCCTCCACCCTCCTCCCAAATGCTTGGAGGCCAAAATTAGGTTTCAGAGATCTTGGAGCATCATTGTTTGGAGATACTGTGTTTGATAGGATGCAGTTCATCCTCTTTATAGAAATAAAGTTCATCCCACTCAGGCTCACAGAGAACTGAGGGTCTCTTTTCCTAATTAACAGCACATTCTGATTAGTAATAACCACTGTTTATATAGCTCAGCGTTCTGTTGGTGCTAAAAGATGTAAATAACAGTTCCTGCCAGTTTGGAACAATATGTTCACAGAGTCAGAAATGGGGATTTTCAAGGGAGTTCAGAACTCAGATTTTGCTGAGGGAGAGCTGAAGGAAAGCTCATTTCACAGGAGGGACCCAGTGGCCCATCTTTGATGAATGTCTACAAGGGGCTCTGCTGGCAAGCCATGCATCAGGAGGGTGACAACACAACATTGCAGTGCTCCTTGTGTGTTCAACATCTCTCTCAAGCAGAAAGGAACTGCAATAAAAGCACTTGAGGAGCTGAGAAATGCTCTCTGATTTATGGAGCAGCAAAGTTCCCACCTGGCCAGGGAAATCCAGAGGGGAAAATGTCTCAGCCCAGGGGAATCTGATCTTGTCACACTTGCCTTGGCCTGGGTCTCATCTCATCTGTGCCCACAGCTCTCGGGTTCCTGGGGAGGAGAGAACAAAGCACAAAGTCACCATGGGAGCTGACTCTGTGCTGCTCCAGGAGGGGCAGGGTGGGTTTGTCACTGCACCACCAGGGCAGGAGGTGAAATACAAACCAAACCAGGAAAGCTTTTAAATCCCAAATCTGCAAAGCTCTGCTTGGGCTCGGCTGCACTTGGGGCGGGAAAGGGCAATTCTGGGCAAATCCCTTGGGAACAGCCCCTGAGGGCTCTGCTGAGCTGTGCTGTGACCTTGGAGTGACAGTGACCAAACCTGGGGGTCAGCAGTGCCACCTCTGCTCCCATGGGTGTCACAGCAGTGCCACCTCTGCTGCCTGAGGGCCAGGAATGCTCCTTGCTGCTGCTCAGGGATGGATTAGGGACTCAAACTGGAGAGGAAAGGCTGAGACAGCCCAAAAGTGCCATGCATGGCTGGAGGCTGGGCTGGTGTGGGCACAGGCAGGAGCAGGGCCCAGGGAGAGGCTCCTGCTGTGGGCATGGCAGGGGGGTGGCACAGGGCTGGGGGAGCTGCCCCTGGCACAGAGCAGCCTGGCAGGGCCAGCAGAGGGGCTGGGCTCCTCTCCAGAGCACAGGAACGTGGTGGGGTTCAGGGGTTCAGCCCTTGGGATAATCAGCTCCCATCCCACCCTCTGGAATCCTGCTGACACCATGGGCAGTCACATTTTCTGATAAATCCCTTGACCCAGGATTTTCTCCTGGGAAGCTGAAAAGCCTCAGAGGAAAAGGAAAACAATTCTTGTCTCATTTGCTTCTCCTGTGTTTGGCTCCTTTGGAATGTGTTTGGAGATTGTTTACCCACAGGTGATTGTTTCATTGGTTTCATGTGAGTTGTTTTCACTCTTTGGCCAATCATGGTCAAGCTGTGTCAGGGCTCTGGAAGGAGTCACAAGTTTTCATTATTATCCTTTGAACCTTTCTGTATTCTTTACTACAGTTTAGTATAGCATTATTTAATATAATATAGTATCACAAAATAATAAATGAGCCTTCTGAGAACATGGAGTCAGATCCATCATTCCTGCCTCCATCAGGGGACCCCACAAAATACAAGGGGCAGCACATCCTCAGGAGGCACTTCCCATTTAAATCCCCCAAACCTCCTCCTCTCCCAGGCTTTAGCTGAATTCCAGCAGCAGAGAATAAATAAAGCTGAGATTGTTTGCTTGACTTTGTGTGAGTCATAAGCCTTCAGTGGCTTTGGCCTGAGCACTGCAAACATTGCAATCAGGAGCTCAGGGCTGGGCACACTTAATTCCCATTAAAATATATTACAAAGATTCAAGTATTGACAAAAATAATGTGATTTTTTTAAATCTGGAAATATGTTAGAATAAACTTTTTGTGCAAGCACATTAGAATATCTGGAAGTTGAAATAATTTTTAAAGCTTTCAATGAACTAATCCTGTTTTACTCTGGGACTTACACAAGCTCAGGCTCTTGGTGTAGCACGTCCTTGCTTTGGGATGGACCTTCCTGCCCTGGCTCATGTTCCCTTGTCTTTTTTAGCAAGTTATAAAGTAAAGTACAACTCAGTACAAGATGGGGAAGACAAAATCTGCTCCTTGATTTGCAATATCCTTAGGACAGGCACTGTCTTCCTTTTGTTCTCCAAGTCTGACCTTTGAGAACCTCAGAGAGAAATAGATTTTTGAGGTTTTTTTACGGTTTTTGAGGGTGGAAAGTAAGAGAGGCTTGGAAGAGATTTGTGTGAGAGGAACAAAGGAAATGACAGTAAAAAAAGGCAGTGTCTCAAGATGAATTCAGGTTATTGGCATCTGTCAAATACTGAATTACTGCAAAGAGATAAGAATGTTCATCAACAGCTTTTTGATTTCCCTGGGAGTCCTGCCTTTCATTAGGGCAAACCTTGCCTCTGTTTGCCAGACATGGCAATAATGATGTTATCAGTGTTGCAGTCAAGACAGAAATGACAATTTGCACTGTGTTCCCCAAAATAAATAAATTTAAAAATCAAAATAATGTGTGGAAGAGCAGACTTCAGTTTTGCTGGATACGGTTTGGGGCTTTTATGTAGTTGGAGAAGTCTGGTTTTGATTTCAGTCTGAGTGGCTGAGTTCAGTGAATGTCTGGGAATTTCAGGTTTATTGGAGGGATGAAGGGCAGGAATCCAGTGAGCAGCTGGAGCTCCAAAGGGAAAAGCTGATGGCACATCCCTGACCCTGGGATAACTCAGGTTTATTGGAGGGATGAAGGGCAGCAATCCCAGTGAGCTGCTGCAGCTGATGGCACATCCCTGACCCTGGATAACTCAGGTTTATTGTAAGGATGAAGGACAGGAATCCAGTGAGCAGCTGCAGCTCCAAAGGGAAGCTGATGGCACATCCCTGACCCTGGGAATTTCAGGTTTATTGGAGGATGAAGGGCAGGAATCCGGTGAGCAGCTGCAGCTGATGGCACATCCCTGACCCTGGGATAACTCACACTTCCTGATCAGGACATCAAACCTGGGGAAAAGGAACAGCCCTGCTCTAAAGGAACACAAAAACAGCTTCCAAAGGAAAGGGAACTGCCTTGAAACCACAAACCCTCCTTGAGAGCTGATAGAAAAAAATCTCTTTGACAGCAGGAGAGCCTTGAGTTCTGTCTTTGTGTCAAATCTCCTCATCCTCTCCTCACTGTGCTCTTCCCACTGCTGAATTACTCCCTTCATTTATGTAACCCTAAATATATATTGATTTTTGAACATAGTTCCAGGCTTGCTTTCTTCCCTTTTGCCTTCAGCTTCCTTGTAAGTCTCCCCGCAGCCTTTCAAATTGCCTCTTCCATTTTAATTGCATTAGGGAAGAATGCAGCTCCTCTCTCTGCATTTGCATCTTTTTGATGTGAAAACACTGGGATGAAAGGTGTCCCCCATGCTTCAACCTGGGCTGGAAAGGGCCCTTTCTCCTCCTCCCCCTGAGCTGGAGACATCAACTCCAGCACTTGTGCTCAGATAAAAGGGAGTGGGAGCAGTGGGAGGGGAACAAGGAGGAGGAAGGGATGGGAGAAGGCAGAAAACGCTTGGAAAAACACAGGGAGATGTTTCAGCCTTGCTGCATCTTCTGTAAACTCATAGGAACAGAAGGCCAGGCTTTGAGAGTGTTTAAAATAGGCCCATAAATATATATGTATTTAATTTTGGATGGTTACATTCTTTTGGAAATCTGCAGGTTTCAAGTCTCCAAAGTGCTGCTGAATTTAATTCCTGGGGGGTTCTGTGTCCTTTGGGGTGTGTGCTGCTCCCAGGCACTGCATCTGTAGGGTCACTGGGTTTGTGGGTGCTCAACACCACAGATTTCCCTGCAAAGCCCTCACACTAAACCTCTTTGTGCTCTTTCTTCTGTAGCATTAATCTCCAAAGAGGAACTGAGATCTGGGTTCAGTTTTTCCAAGTGGTCACCCCTAGGATTATCTGCATAATTCCCTTGGGATTGCCCACAGTGCCAGAGCTGGCACCTCAGAGAAGGGCTGGAGCAGGCCAATTAATCTTTTAATTAAGTGCACAGAACTACAGCCCTGCTTTTACCCCAGTGAACAGGAAATCTCTGCTCTCCATTGCTGTTCACGTGCTCTGCCTTTGTTCTTCCTGAAGAAGAGGAAAAGGCTGGGAGGTTTGGGATCTCTCATTCCAGATCCACAAGCCAGGGGAAAGATGTGTGCTTATAAAAGGATCAGTGTCTGGTGGGATCCTCATTCTCCCTGGGCTGGGAGAACTCTGTGCACAACAAAACCAGGAAATTTCAGAGCAGAACCTGATCCCATCTTCCCTTTGTTTGGAGGATCCTGAACAAAACCACCCCTGGAGATTTCTGGGATCCACTTTTGGGAGCTGCTGTGGGCAGGGGCTGTGCTCAGCAGGGCCATAAATGTAATTTATGGCTGTGCTCAGCAGGGCCATCAATGTAAGGTGCTGCTTTCCTGGGGTTTGTTTCACAGAGGACCCATGTGAGGCTAATTCTGGTTTTCATTTTAGTCCAGTAATCCCTGATTAATCAAAGCCACAGGTGTGCCTGGCTTTAGGCTCTCTCTCAAGCTGATCTCCATCCCACTGATTTTACTGGTGACCTCTGATAGTTTAATGTGTTAATTTAGCCTAAGTGTGATCTGATAAACAGCAGCAGCTTTGAGGGTGTGATCACAGCCTCCTTCTCACTGCCTGCCTTGGCAAATCTCAGCTTTGCTCTGTGCAAAGTCCAAATCCCTCTGGAATGGTTCCTGTTCCAGGAGCAAACTGCACCCCAGCCATGGGTAGGCTGAACATTTGGTGGATTCCCTCCCTAAAGCAGCCTCTGGGAGGCTCCTGGACAGATATTTGAACCTTCTTGTCCAGGAAATGTGAGGAAAGTTTATTATCCTGAGCACTGGAATGCTCAGATGCCATTTTTAGAGTGGCTTTGAATCTCCATGAAATGCTCCCAGAGGTGTGAGGACTGAGCTGGCACAAACATGTGAGGAGGAGACACTGGGGATAATAATAATAATAATAATAATAATAATAATAATAATAATAATAATAATAATTTTCTCTAGGAAAGGGTTTGGTTTTTTCTCCTTTTAAGCTAGGAGAACAATGCTGTATCCAGGTGTTCCCTTCCAAAGAGGTTTCCCAAAGCTCTGTATTTGTTTTTCTCCAAGCAGCACCACTGTTCCTGCTTTTGGAGGGTGGATTTTCCTGCTCAGCCCAAGAGCACACCCTGAAAAATGGGGATTCTTTGTCCCTTTGAGGTGATATTTTGTGGTTCACTCACTGCTGATTTGCTTCAGACTCATTTTTTATGCTGCTGTTCCCCTCCCAAACCAGGGGCAGCTCCATCCTGTGATGGCAGAGGCAGCCTGGGAATTTCCCCTTGGTCCATGATTTAGGAGTTATTCTGTGCAAACACAAGCCCTGGGGTGAGCAGTCCCCAAACCTGCACTGAGCTTAAATTGCTCAGTGACTTTTTTTTTTTTCCCTCATTTGCTGTTTTTAAGCTCAGTTTGCCCCAAAGTTCCAGGATTTTGGAGCCAGGACAAGAAGTGCAGGTAGAGGTGGATGATTAATGGTTGAGTCAGAAGGAAAATGGAAACTAAATCTGTTTAGAGCTGAACTCAAATGAAAACCCCAAACCTAAGAATCCCCATAAAATACAACCAGGGCCAACCAATGGCCTTTTTGTTCAATTCTCATTTAGTGAGAATTCTCATTTTGTGCAGGTGAAGGAGGGATTTCATTCTGGCCTAATTGTGAAGGGATGAACAAATCAGATCTGGGTTTGTGTCCCCCTCCCTATTTAATCTCTCCTTTCCCATTTTCTCCTGCCCTACCAGGAGCAAGGATATCTATTACAGCTGGGACACTGCAGCCTTCCTCTTGGATCTAAAATCTGACTGAAACTCCTGCAGGAATAGATTTCTTTTTAAAAATATTGCAAAGGAGCCAGAGATTGTTTGAATGTTCCAGTTTTCATCCATCTCTTTTCAAAAGGAAACTCTGCTGCTCTTGATGAACAGGCCCAGTCTGGGACTGCAATAAATTCACTGCTCAGGGAATTTCACCTTTAAATTGTGCAGGAAAAGAAGAAGTTAAAGGGTGTGGGAGGGAGCAGGGGCTGGGAGGGGGAGTGATGAGTGTCAGTTTAGAGGCAGCTACTTTGTCTGTACATTTCTGGAATGAAATCACATTTCTTTTCCCACAGCACAGACTGGGCTCAGTTTCTGTGGGATTTGGGAGCTGCAGGTGAGCAGGAGCTGCTGCCCAGCTGTGCCAGCTGTGCCCAGCTGTGTGCCCAGCTGCAGCCCGGGGAGCTGAGCTGGTGAGCAGGGAATGGAGCCTGGAGCATCCCGTGCTGGCAGCACTGCCCCTCCTCTGGGCTGCCAGCCCCATTCCAGCCGGGAACAGTCCCGGTGTGGGCTCGGGATGGTGGGGATGGCAGCACTGCCAGGCTGGGAGGGCACGGGCACGCCAGGGCACAGCTCGGGGGCGGGAGGAGGGATGGGAGGCTCAGGGATGGAGAGCAGGGCAGGGGTGCCCAGGGGTGCCCGGCACAGCTCTGGGAGCGGGGATGCAGCTCAGGCAGGAGGGGCACCCGGTCCAGAGGGGCACACCTGGGCAAGAGGGGCAGGAGGGGCACACCTGGCACATCTGGGCAGGATCAGAAGGGGCACCCAGCCCGGAGGGGCACACCCGGTCCAGAGGGGCACACCTGGCACACCTGGGCAGGAGCAGGAGCCCGGTGGGGACAGGGAGCAGCCTGGGCTGGGGGCAGCGGGTGGGCAGGGCAGCCCTGGAGCCTGCCAGGGACCGTGCCAGTGGCTGGTACCGTGCCGTGCCAGTCTGGCCCGTGGCTGTCCTGGTGCCGTGCCGTGCCAGCTTCACAGCCCAGGTATCACCGTGCCGTGCCAGCCTTGCACGCAGGTATCTCAGTGCCGTGCCAGGCAGGTACCGCGCTGCCCAGTGCCGTGCCATGCCGTGCCAGCCTGCCCCGGTACCGTGCCGTGCCATTCACCGGCACACCGATCCCACGCTGCTCGGTGCTGTGCCGTGCCAACCCAGTGCCAGCCTCGCACACGGGATCACGGTGCCGTGCCAGCCGTGCCATGCCGTGCTGTGCCAGCCATGCCGTGCTGTGCCAGCCATGCCGTGCGGTGCCAGCCGTGCCGTGCGGTGCCAGCCGTGCCGTGCCATGCCGTGCCAGGCGTGTCCCCGCGGGCTGCGGGGCCGGGATGCAGCGGAGCATCCCCGGGCTGTGCCGCAGGCGCTGCCCGCGCCCCGCGATCGCCGCCGCTCCCCGGGAATCCCCGCATCCCTCCGGGCAGGGCACGGGGCTGGGGCTGGTTGGGCATCGCCCCGCGGCCCCTTCCTTCCCTCTGTCCCTCTGTCCGTCCGTCCCTCCGGCACAAAGGAGCCACCGCAGCCGCTCACTCACCTGCTCCGGCCGCGTCCTCCGGCAGCGGGGCTGAGTGCGGCTGCAGCCCGGGCAGGGAGCCCCGAGTCCGGGCAGGGAGCCCCGAGCCCCGCGGTGTCCCCGGTACCGAGCAGGGAGCCCCGGATCCCCGGGAGCCCCGATCCCCCCGGTGTCCCCGAGCCGGCGCTGCCGCAGCCGCAGCGAGCCCGGAGCTCCGCACACCCCCTCGGCAGCACCATCTGAGCCCAGCCGAATTTGTCAACTTTATTTAGGGGGAAGAATGGATCACATGGGAGCCTCACCGAGCGGGGAGGAGCGTGCGGTGCGGAATCAGGTCACCGCCAGAGAGCCGAGCCAGCCACGGCCACCGGCACAGAGCCGAGACAAAGGCAGGGAGCAGCCGGGAATTCAGCGGCTTTCTCCCCTTCTCTGCCCATTGAACAGGGAAATTTCGCGCTCCTTTCATCAGGTGAGCTTTCCTAATGAAGTAGGAAATAGCAATGTGAAAGGGATGTGCTCAGCTCCAGAGCGCTTTCGAGCACATCCATCCTGTCGAGCGTTTCTCAGCCTTTTCTTTGCCCGTTTCTGAGCACATCCATCCTCTCAAGCGTTTCTCAGCCTTTTCTTTGCCCGTTTCTGAGCACATCCATCCTCTCAAGCGTTTCTCAGCCTTTTCTTTGCCCGTTTCTGGCTGCATTGATCCAGCCCCAGAGAAATGGATGCTGGACCCATTCCCGAGCACCACATCCAACAGCCCAGGTGGAATATCCACCTCTGTCTCAAATCTGCATCTCTCTGTCTTTAATGTGCATCTCCTGCTCAGACAAAGGCTGGAGCTGCTGCTGATCCCTGCTGCCCCACGGGCTGAGGAATCCTTGGGCTCCTCCAGCCCCATTCCTGCTATTTCTCATTCATTAATGGCCAGCAAAGCCCCCAGGCAGAGGTCACACCAAATTTGAGCCCTGTGTGACTTTTAATACCATTGTTTATTCCATCAGCACACACTCCCAAAGAGCTGCCATGGGTTTGGGTTATTCAGAGGCCAGAATTCAAGTGTGGATCCCTAAATACACACGGATCTTGTGAAGGAGTGGGCCTGACTTTTATAGGTGCTAAGCAACTGTTCTGGTGCATTTCCATCTGCCTCGAAGTCACATCCCACCCTCTCCACCTTCCTCATGTCCACACTCTGAGACAGAAATGAGCTGTGCAGAGTAGGCTGGCTCCTTCCTCTGCTGCCAGCAGCTTTCTGCCCAAAGGAAACTCCATCCTGCCCCACAGAAAATCCATCCTGGAGCAGGACACCCGGTGGAGGGAGTGGGAACCAGGGGAATTGCCACTGATGTGTCCTGGCAGGGTAAAAACCCAGGGGAGGGCGAATGCTGCAGCCAAAAATGGCTCGAGCAGCCATGGAACAAGTGGCAGCTGCCTACAGAGGGACTTTCCTTCCTCCAGCTTGCAGAAAATGATCCAGCCTTGGCACTTAGAGGCTGGAACAGTCAAAATGTTGATTCTTGGCAACTTCTTAATGAAGCCTCTGGATTAGAGAGGATGTAAATGAGGATGTCACACCAGGAAAACAATCCTCACATCAGAGAGCACCAAAGGCAAAGCTGAGTCCCTCGGTGGGCACTGCAGCCCTGGCTGGAGCAGAATTCCCCATTCCTTGCTTTCCTCTCCCAGAAAAGGGGGAAGCTGACCCAGGCTCTGCTTCCAGAGGCTCCAGGGAGAATTCAGGGAGGGAAAATGCTGGAGGGAGAATTCAGCCCCAGCTGCTTCTTTGGAGGGCAAACAAAGAGTGCAGGGAGCTCTCAGGCCCCAGCCTGGGCCTGGCACAGGGACATGGGGGTGCCTTGGCTTGGAAATTGGGATGTGAGTGATTATTTAAATCTGTCAGGGCTGGGGCAGTTCTCTGCTGTTCCTGGGGCAGTTTTTCCTTTCTCTCTCCCACACCAACCCTCCCTGCAGGAGATCTCTGCTGTCCATGGCCACTGAGTGTCCCTGCAGGGCTGATCCAATCCCAGCATCCCATGGGGAGATGCTCCGCCCAGGGGAGGAGCCAAGCATTCCTCCCTGGATCCAATCTGGGCCTGGCACAGCACAGCAGCCTTTGCCCCCTGCATTGCCAGAGGAGCAGCTTTCTGCTGCCCTGCATGGCCAGAGGGAGCCCAGGCCCATCTGCAGCAGCCCTGGAGCTGCAGAGGAAAACTCCCCCCTTGTGCAGGATCCCTGCTGCAGCAGAGCCACAGCTGGCACTGCAGGAGGGCTGAGCCTCCATGGGATGGGGCTGGGACACCGCCCTGACACACAGGGGACAGGGACTGCTCTCACTCTGGCAATGGTTTTTTTAATTACTGATTTTTATCTTTATTTTTCCTAATAAAGAACTGTTGTTCCTACTCCCATATCTTTGCCTGAGAGGCCCTTAATTTCAAAACAATAACAATTGAAAGGGAGGGGGTTTACAGTTTACATTTCCCATTTCAAGGGAGGCTCCTGCCCTCCTCAGCACACACCTGGCTTCTCAAACAGGGAGATTTCCCTGGGGTTGGACCTGGGGGCTGAGCTGGGTGTGCAGCTTCCTTTGGCCTGGATTCCAAGGATCCATCCCTGGGCACAGCTGCTCCACATGTTTGGGGTTAATTTGTGACAATCTCTGCATTGCCAGGCAGGAGGGGACCTGCCAAAGGCTCTCCCAGCCCTGGTCACTCCTTATTTATATCTCATCCCCAAGTTCTTCCTTCCTCACCAACTGAAGTTTTCTGCACTTCATGAAAATTTCCTTTTATATTTTTACACCCTGCTGCTTGCTGAAGTGTCTGATGTCAAGTGAAAATCTATACATAATGTGTGTCTAAATGCATATTTATATAAATTCACCCAAATACATATGCAAAGACCTGGGAATGCAAATTCCTCCCTGTTTGCATTGGTGCAAGGGGAGTTTTTCCTCTGGTTTTATTACATTTCACCCTCCCCAACACTTTGCCAATGAGCTAAGCCCATAAGGAATGTCTGAAAAGATTCTAATATATTTTTATGCTACATTTAAGCTTTTCTTCAAATGCTTGCTCTTAATCCTCTATGACTAATCCACTCACATTCCTCACACTATCAGATCTCCACTTCCTGAATCTCCTCTATTTAAGGCTTGCCACAGGTCAGGAATTGCATCAATAATCTGCAGATTGTGGCTCTCGGGGAGTGTTGGCCAGGAATAGGGACAGGGTTGATATGGCACAGCCCTGCTGCCCTCAGAAAAACTTACAATTCCCAGAAAATCAGGAAAACCTTGATTTCAGTAAGAGTTGAGGGTGCAATTCTGGGCTGTGAGGGTGGGGAGGCCTGGAATAGAATTCCCAGAGGAGCTGTGGCTGCCCTGGATCCCTGGAAGTGTCCAAGGCCAGGCTGGATCCCCCTGGAATAGTGGAAGTGTCCCTGGGTACAGGTGGGTGACCCCAGGAGAGGATTCCCAGTTGTTGGTTTCTCTGGGTCTGGATTGAAGGCACTTGAGAAGGCAGTTCATGTTCAGATTTAGGTGTTTATTATTTCTTATAGTTCATGTTCAGATTCAGGTGTTTATTATTCATTATCAATAAAACAGTCTCACAACCACGAGCTCAGCAGCCTTTCATTAGAAGGCACAAAATGGCCATCTCTTGTTACAAGGTCTTTTAAGACTAAACTATCCAATTAAGAACTGACACCTGGATTATTTCCCCTTTTAACCCAATAACTGATCCCAGAGAGCTGCAATGTGGACTTTTCTGCCCAATTACACAACATCACCCAAACCCATGGAGAAGGAGGAAGAAGAAGCACGAAGAAGAAACCCAGGACGACACCGTGTTCCCTCCACCTTGCTTCCATCCACAACAAACTAAAAATCCCAAAACCTCAATTTCTCACCACGTGATGCACCTACACTGCTCTCTATAATCTATTTCACACTTTTGTGGATTCCAGTCTATCTTGAAGTCTGGGAAACTTTCTCCATGAATGAGGGGCAAAGTCAGTGCTGCCCTGGGGGTCAGGGCACCCCAGAACAAACAGAGAAATATTCCCTGTGGTGCTCTGGGTTTGCACACCCAGGAAATGTTGGTTTTCCCTGTTGATGCTGCCGTCAAGGTGCTCTTCTCATGCAGAGACTGGAGCAGGTTCCTGACCTTTAATGGTCCCCACCTCTTCTTGGAGCACAGAGTCAGGAAATGTGGCTTTTCCTATTCCCAACTGAGCAGGGAGGCACTAAAACCAGAATTATTCAAAGCAAAGTTTCCCATCAACACCAGACCATCAAATTCCTCCTCACTGGATGAAGTTATAAATATTGACTGCAGGGGAAGAGCAAAATTTAGAGGCAAACAGAGTGAAATGAAAGCTCATCATGCAGAAAGTTTGAGCGGGGTTGTTGTTCCCTTCCATCCTAGTGGAAGGATTGGCTTTATTAGGAGAGATAAAATTGACTTATTTAAAAAAAAAAAACAGTTAAGAGCTCATAATGTAAAAGTGGCTTAGCCAGCACTGCTGATCTCTCAGTCTCACTAATTTTAATTGCATTCAGCCTGATCATGAAACGTGGAATGAGGTCTGGGATTTCTGAGGCATTGTTGGAATTCTCAGGCTGCTCCCCCACCCCTGAAATGGCTCCTGAGGAAAACTGACAGCTCCTGAATCCTTTATTCCAGGGAGGAGGCAGAAAAGGGGCTGTGAAAATGCAGAAACCTGGGGCATGAAGTCGGCAATTCCTAATTAATCTGCTATTTGGGGAGAGTGAGGAGGAATCCAGAGGAACTGAAAGGCATTGATGATGGAAAGGAAGTATGATATTAATGTACAGGAATGATTGGAAGGAATTGAAAGGAAATATTATATAAATAAACAGGAATGCTGCTGCACAGGGCACAGAATTCCCCCATGGAACTCTTGCTGCAGGTGTGCTCCGGGGCTGGAAGCCCTGAAGGATTCCTGGGAAGGTGCCTTGAGGGGTGGGAGCAGCCAGAATATCAGCAGTGCCTCTGGCTGTGGCTGTAACTCAGCACATGCAAAGAGGAAATTCCCTTTGGGGCAGATTTCCTGCATCCCTTTGGCTCGG